AGAGAGAGAGAGAGAGAGAGAGAGAGAGAGTGTGTGTGTGTGTGTGTGTGTGTGTGTGTGTTTATGTCCTGATGAGAACAATCCAGGTTCCTCCGGGAGTTGGTAGCTAGCGCCTTTCTGTGGATCCATTACAAAGCCCCATTGTTGATTTGCATGAATTTTTACAGAAGCTTTATATTTCCCCTGCAGGCTCTTTGTGGTGCATGCTGTTTGTGTTGTGTGTGTCCCATGGAACAGGCACACACTCCCTGTGGTCTGTGCACAGTTGTGTCTGCACACTGTGGCTCCTGCCAGACATCCGGTCTTCCTTCCCTGTCGTATTCTCTGCATTTTCTCTGGCACACTGGAGGAAAGGTGAAGTCTTTGTTTTGCTCCTGTTAGGGAGGAGAATCATTTGCTTGTTAAATTGTAAACTGGAAAATAGATTCTTCTGTGTTGCCTCACCAGATAGCTCTGACTGCTGAAGTTACTGGGCATTTTTATGGATTAAACTTGACCCCCGTCCCATGGGATAAAAGATATCTGTACAGAGCTTACTGGTAATCACATCACCTAATGGATTACAGGTACCATAAGGACTTAGGGAAAATATCCTGTTTTTTCCATAATAGAGTTTTGGGTGGACCATCAGATCTTAAATATTTTCTTTATTTATTCACCTGTGTGTTGTCCTTATGTGTCCAACAAGTGTAGGTGTGCACTTGTGACAGACGCTTTTCCATGCCAAACCCAGGAAGCCAGCACATGAGAAAACAGATTTTAATCTCTGCTCTCATGGAGTTTGTATCCCAGAGACAGCGAGCAAATAAAGAAGTGAATATGCAAAGGGTCAGGTCCAATGGGTCCTGGGGGAAAACTGAGGAGAGTTACAGGGACAGGAAGCACGGGGAGGTGGTGCTGCCCTGCTAAATTTTTTTTTAAATTGAATTTATTGGTACATTCTAGGTAGACTGTACAGTTACATTCATTACTGGGGTCTTGTACCTCTACCTGCCTGCTAAATTGTTAAAAAGCTCCCTGGGGACAGGGGCGAGCAGCCCCGAGGAAGTGTGGGAAGCACTGGGGAGAGGTGGGGGTCACATGTCCCAGGCGGGGGTGGGGGGGCCAAAGGTCCTCGCGTGGAGACTTTTCTTGACCTCCAGGAAAACTCGGACAGCCGCCGAGGCCAGAGTGGAGTTCACAAGGTGGAAAGCATCCGGTGGAAGGTCAGAGAGATCCTAGCCTCGAAGGCCATGAAGGGAACTTTACATTTTGCTTAGTAAAGCGGCAAGCCATTGGAGATCCTAACGGGAGCAATTGGGCTAATTTACCTTGTGAAAGAATCATTTTTAATGCTGCTTTGGGAATAAACAGAGGACCATGAAGGAAGGTGCAGGGAAGTGAATTAATTAGTTAATAAACCATTATAATAGTCCCAGGAAGAGATGGGACTGCTTGGGCCAAGATGATAGCCGTGGAGGTAGTAAAAAATTGCAGATTCTAAATATATGTGGGGTGTAAGAAAGGAGTGGCGTTGAAGACGACTCCTCCTTTTTGTTGCCTCAATCAAAAATGATGGGCAATTATAGGATGATTATGCAATTAAAGGGATCATCAGCCGTGGGGGAACATTTGATGATAGTGGAAGGAGAGAATTGCTGGATTAGGTGAAAGGGTTGGGAAGCTCAGCAAGCTCACAGACACTGACCCATAAAATCCGAGGGTAGGGCACAGGTTCAGTGACAGTGGCAGAAAGTGGTGGGGAACGCTTTTCTAATGACCTCTGGTGTTGTCAGATGCCAGCTGAGGCCACCAAAGATAAGCAGGGAGGAGACTGGAAGTTTGAAGAGAAAGGAGAAAGCTTGAAATGCTTACCTAGATAGGTGAGGAATGCAAGGTTTTTGGGAAATGCTGTCTGATAAAACCAGGGGCTTTGGTAGGATCATGAGTATATTTATTTTGCAAAATTATGTATTTTGTGCTAGACACGTTTAAAGGCTCCAGTGTGGCTTTCGATAGGCGATCAGGGTGATGAGACAAAATGAGAGGGAGGTCATGGGTGTGGAAAGTATATGCAAGGGGACAATAGTAACTTTTCACTGTGAAATGAAGCCCCAGCAAAGGAAAAACATCTATGGAAGGGCATAGATGTAGGAACATTCGAGTGGTGTGGCTGGGTGTAGTTTCACACGTTTGGGAGGGGGAGCTCTTGGAGTTGTGACACTGCAGTGAGTTGGAAGGACGAGGGGATGTGGTGTGTAACAAGATGCTTTGACTTGATGGTAAGGAGGAGACACAGCTATTGGTAATAACAAGGATGTTTTCCCCCAGGCAGCGTCACCAGAGGCATGGGGCTTAGAGTCCTCCTGAATTTTCTAAGCGAATCCATTTGAGAGGGCAGCAAGGAAGGCAGTCTCTTCAGGACAGAGCTCATGTCAAAGCAGAAAGTTTCAAAGAAGAAACTGGGTAAGTAAGGCCTTTGCTGGTGAATCCAGAAGCATTTGGAAATATACTGAGTGCCCTGGAATCTCTATTTAAATTTTGATGGTCAATGTACTATAGTATGCCTTGGGGGCAGTTTATAGAGATTTCCAAATAGTCAAGTAACTAGTTTGAGAATTCTGGATCCTTATCACATAAAGAACATTGCAAATATTACAGACAGCTAAGTTAGATAGAAATATTGCAGGCAGGCAGAGAGGGCTGAGCCCTGGAGAGAGTCAGGACAAAGGTAAAAGCCATCACAGCCATGGCCAGAGACACGTTTGTTGGAGACCAGGCCTCAAGCTAAAGATGAAGTGACGGGGCCTGTGTACTTCCTCAAATGACAAACACTGGTCCGATGAAGTCCAGACAGACATCAGTCGCCCTGGTGGGTGTCCAAGACCTCCAGACCCACCATTTCCTTAAAACCTCTCTGTTCTTTCCATGCACACTTGTTTCCCCACTGGATCACTGTTACTTAAACCACTACACTTGTAAACTTATTGGTTGGTCATAGTTGTACCCATGTGGGTTTTGTTCTGTAAGACTTTCCTGTAAAGTGGGGTCTCCAGCTACACATTCAGGTTCCCTCCTGCCTCTCAGGAGCTGTCCTCTCAATAAATATTTCCCTGCCCGTAATTTCCATTGTTCCTACAGTGCATTCTTTGATCTTGGAGAACAGGAACTCAGTGTATCAGACAAACAACAGGTTGTGAGATATAATATGTTTATCTTTAATCTCCTGCCCCACAAATGCTGGGGCCTCCTTTGTACGGGACAAAGCAGTGCTCTTTCGCTTTCCATGCTAGAAGCATGACCAGAATTTTCCAGAGTATCAAAGCATGGAAGCCACATGCCTCAAGCCAATATGAAAAACAATCAACTTTCAATTTTCTGTGCTTGTTTGCTTTCTGCCCAGGATACACAGAAAAGGCATTTGAACAAACTTTTGGGTTCAGTTTTCAAGAATGTCTTTCCATTTCCTCCACAAAGAGCACAGGAGCCATTGCTCCCCGGGCCCAGGGGCTGTTTTTATTATTTCAGTGTGGGTGTCTTCACAGCAAAACAACCTCACGCATTCAACCCAAGCCCCTCAGTCCACCGCCATTTGCCAAATGAAGCAAACACCATAATAGCCTTAATGATGTGGATTTATCTCCTAACTGTTGTTTTGAGATCACAACAAATCATTAAAATCATTAACTCTCCCAGCTAAGTTAGCGTCTTCCAGGATGCATGGCCTGTGTGGCTCTTTTCATAACACCGCACCCACATGCCATGGCACTGCTGCTTCTCAGACCCAAGCAGAAGGGCTTGGTTTATTCTGAATCACAGCGTTCGGCAGTTCTGTTCCCTCTACTCATTGCCCAACCCTTCTTAGGGCTGTCACTTCCTGTCACCGAAGCCCCTTCATTCCTACAGAGATGCAGGTCAGGGAGCTTCCTTTCCTTGTCAGCCCAGAGGAAATGGAGGGCATGAAGCCTGTGGATCACGGGGGATAGAGAAAGTGGGAGGGGCCTTTCAGACTTTCATATATTGGACAAATGAAGGCCTTTCTTCTAGAAAATCCTTCCAGAAATGGGACAATGCAGTGTTTGAGGAACTTGGGGATGGTCATTGGTCCATCTCTCCTCTGCAGGAGGAAGGGTGAGTCCTATGCAGGGCTGAGGTGAGCTGATGAGCCCAGGGCTTGGTAAGGATGTAAATGAAGGGAGAGATTGCTCAAGCAGCCAGAGGAGGTGACGCCCGCTGCCTGCCTGCTGACAGCCAAACTAAGTTGGATGGGCAGACATAGCTCAGGGGTGGGCAGGCACCAGGAGGCGGCCAATCAGTGCTAAATGAGTTAACGATGTCTGCAAGGATCTCCTTTCAGGGCCCAGAGTTTTCCAAGTTAAGCCCACTTTATAAAAAGGATAATTTTATGGTCAGGGTCAGCAGCGTGGCGTGTGGAGTCAGAGCCTGATGCCTTCTTGACTGACTCTGCAACTTTTCCACATTCAGTCATTTGGATTCAGGTGCCAAGTCATGTTTCACAGAGACCTATGCAAGTCCTCCGACCCCTGAGTGTTAGCGGGGGTGTGGCTGAATGGCTGGGGAGGCCCTGCCCAGGCCTTGCATGTCTGTCCCAATGTCCTCTGAAGCCTGACTCTGAGTACCTGGTCCCACTTGGGATCTCTGGGCTTCTCAAGCTGTATGGGACAAGGAATAGGGAAGTAGAAAGGATGTTAAAAACAAATGAAACAAAACACCCCGCCAGCTGGGGTGGTGAGAAACCCTGCTGTCACTTCCGTCTTTGGAATTTCTACCCATTTCTTCTTCTACTGGGCACGTAGTACTGTAGTGTCATTACAGCTCTCTTACGTTTTAATTATATTGTGAGAGTCCAAGAGCCTGTGTGCAAAAATCCATTTATCTCTAAATAGAAGAACGTGCTCTAAGCTCTATCTTTGGTACTAGAAAATTAGTCCTTTATCAGGCTAATTCAAGGGACAAATGAAGAACTGTTCAGTATGAAATCAATGACCTTTTGTAGACAAGCAAAGTCAGGAAGATGAGAGGCTGTGAGCCAGGAAGAAATGCATCTCTGCTCCGAGTTGCTGCTTGTAAAAGAGGAAACAGAGGGTGCAGGGTAAGGGGGTCTCCCACACCACAGCTGCTCCAGGGGAGTCTCAGAGCACGGGACCTGGGCCCAGCAGAGCGCAGGGGCCCCTTGCTTGGGGTCTTCCGGTAACTCTCCCTTCAAGCAGCTCCTCTCTGCCCTGGCAGGTCACATGTGGCCTTTCTACCCGCTCCACGACCTGCTGTGTCTCACTCGCACTTCTCTCAGCTCAGTAGCTTGCAAGAAAGACCAGGAGAGTGAGGCAGGGTAGGAGAAATAAATACAAGGGCAAAAAGGAAAATCCAAATGTTAAAATTGTACTTTTAAAAAAACAGTGCCTCCAGAACCCAAGGTCACCCATGTCTGCATCCCTGAGCTTCTTTATTCCTGATTGTCCTTCTTATTCCTGATTCTTTTCTCCAAGCCCATCACACCCCAAATCTCTTGGAAATTCTGAGAGTCCACGGGTGAGCTCCGCTGGTAAGGTCAGGGGCAAAAACCTGACCCTCGGGCGGAGATGCAGACTTCACAGGCCTTCACGAATGCTTCCAGGCAGAGCTTCTCAGGTCACCTGTCTTCACAAGTGCGCGCAAAGGGGAGACAGGAAGGATCAAGATGTGCCCGAGATGAAGTTGCGTTCACCGTGAGGTGTCGCCCTCCCAGCTGAGGAATGAGCCACTGTCTTTGCACCTGTGTGGGGGAGGCATTGCTCTTCTTCCGTCAGCCAAGCACACACTGCCTATAGATTCACAAATCCCACAGATTTCCACCCCAACCCCAGGCCGCAGAGCACCTTCCTCTCCAGGGCTTGCACTCTATGTTTTTGAGTGCCGACTTTCAGTTTTTCCTAATAAACATCATTATGCCTCTCGCTGACCCTTCTTGACAATTCTCTTCTGCAACAGAAGTCAGCAACTGCCATCAGGCCCATGGGAGGAGCAGGTCCAGCTCCTCTCTCTACTTTGAACCCACCTGGTGACCGAGGGATGGAGGAGCCCCCACCAAGGACAACAGCAAGCTGTGGCTGCTCTGTGTGGCACCTCTCCGTCTTCATCCCTTGCCATTTTCGAAGACAGTCTGCATAGTTTATGAGCCTATACCTCCGCTGTGAGTCTGAAGGCGCCAGGGCAGCAGGTGTGGCTCTGGTTCATAGTGAGCTGTGCACACCCTGGCTCCTCCATGGCCCCTGTGAGGTGCTCTCTGGAGCCAGGGCAGCAATCCTGTGGTGGCTGTCTGACCCTGTTCAGGCTCCCTGTGTAATCTAGAGTTCTGGTCCTGCCTCTCTCCATCCTCACTCCTACTGAGGCAGAAAGTTAGGGCATGGCAAGCGGGATGGGCAGTGGGTGTGACCTGTCAATCGCAGCCAGGATGTCTGTGCAGAACAGCCTTGGAGCCCAGACCTGAGGTCAAAAAGGAGAGAAGACATCAGCATTGGCCTGAGGCCGCTGTCTTCTTGCCCTTGCAGATGCCTGCTCTCTGTGCAGGGTGTATTTTCTCTGCAGGGCTCTTCTCCTTGACCACTTCTTTTACACTTCTTTTTCTTATTTTACCTTTAAGTAAATGTTAAATTTTGTGTCATCAGATGTCCCATCCAGTTCTTCAAATGACACCATGAGCCTGGAAAGGACCTCTGAACACCCCACCTCCAGTGACACTGCTCCTGGGCCGGATGGTTCTCTTGGCCAGCTCAAGAGCCACGCTGAAGAACTGTATCGGAGACAGAGTGAAAGGTGTTCAGAGGCTGCGTCCCCAAGTACTCGGAGCTTCCTGCTCTCACCAGTTCTGTAAAGCTTTATGGCTTGCATTGTACAACGCTGGACACTGAGACAGAAAGTGGGTATGTGTTACGTGGATGGTTGTAGAGCTGGCACAGGGCATGGTGGGAATTTAACCCAGGCCCACTGGCAGAGCTGCCACCACAGGACTTCGTCCTCGGGTGTGGCCCTGCTAAGATAAAGACACGCCCATAGAGGACACAGCCTTCCCCAGAGGACAGGCGCAGTGGAGATGGGGCCCAGCTCCCAAGACACACACTCACACACGCACACCCGCTGCTCTGCCGGTATTTCAGACTTGCCTTTCCTGAGGGGATTGCCAGCCACCCCAGTCACAGTTACTTATTCTTGGCCCCGCGTGGAGACCCGCTCCCCTTGGGAGACGTGTGGGTGGCAGCAGGAGCTGCTGCCACATTCCAAACCAACTGGCAGCTAAGTTGTCTTCGCTTATTGCACTTTTCCCTACCTGTTTTGTTTGTTTTGTGCCACAGAAACAGGTGATCGGATGTGGTTCAGGTTCTCGAGTTGTGGATTACGGTCTTGTAGCTGAGGTCTCCTGTTTTCATCTTAAGTCCACCTTGCATCGAGGTCATATACTTCTGCTCAGCATCGTGCTTGACACGAATGGGTTCAAAGCAGCACTTTTATTACACTACTCTCCTGATGAGCTCACAGTGCCTCCGGGTCTCCTTTCCTGCAGCCACAGGGACGGCCCCCACCAAGCCGCATCCCAAGCCAGGAGAGATGCGGGCCTCGGAGCTGCCTCCGCACTGTTTCCATGGGCTGCTCCCTCGTTAAGACCAGTGCTCAAGTCCTCCTGCTCTGGAGGCTCTCCCTCCCCACTGCAGTACTCTGTGCTTTTCCCTGAGCTGACCTCTTCAGTATAGCCTAGCTGCACAACTCCAGGAGCTTGAACATGAGCTGTCTTATTCTGCGATTTAATACTTTCCTGAATAAGATCTTAAATACTGCAAGACCATCAAGTGCCGACACAACAGAGTAAACTCTTTCTGCAGTGCCCAGAGGACTAGCCTATGCTAGGAACATAATAAAGATTTTTAAAAATTGAAATTAAATAAAATTCTGTCCTAATTAAATATATACTATATATTATGTATCAAGTTGAATGTATAAACTCTCTTTAAAGAGTTTCCCATAAACACTCAATGCTTACATTATTTTTATTGTCACTTAAGCATATAAACATAAAACTAAGTATTAACTATTAAAAGCTTAAGATTCTTAAGTGACTATAAATCCCAAGTGAACTTACATAATTAAATATAAATAATCATATAAACAATAAAATTTGAATTAACAGTAGAACTTTATTATGAAATATGACATTTGCTATACCTCAGCCACTGCTCATGCCTCATGCAAGGAATTGCTCTAAGATATACATTTTTTTCCAGTCTTTGAGCTTGGTATGCAAAACTTCTTTTGTTCAAAATCTTTGTTCCTGCAGTGTGATGTCAGGTAAAGTGGAACGGTGACCATTTAGGCTGTTCTCTTTTTACCCTGGACAGTCACATGCACGGAAGCCACTTGGTAGTGTTTGGTTTATGTGGGCATCCAGGATCTTGAGACGTGCTTTTGTTAGTTTTTTAGGATTACCATTGGAATTACAAATCCAATACACTGTGACAACTGCAAGACACTGAGAAAAAAATTTGGACCCTTGGGAATCTACTTGTCGGTCCCTGACTGAATAAGAGTTTCAGAAAGCACGCTAATGAGAAGACTGTTTAAACCGCAGAATGATGCCAGAGTGTTTTCCCCGCTTCCACTAGAAATTGTCAATCAGAGGTGCTTGTTTGTTCTGTTCCTAATTCTACTTTTTGGAGATTATTATATATTGAAGCATTGAAATTATTTATATAATTATATATTACAATGTACACTCTTATGTAAAAAGGTCATAGAAAATGTAAGGGTCATTTCTAAGCCTGGAAAAGACTCCAGGGTGCCCAGACCTCCACCTTGCAGAGAGAGCACTGATGGCCCGTATACTAGCTCCTTATGCCTTTCTTTTGCTATTCTAACACCCTCCCTGATACCAGTGACTACCACATGCCGGGGATGTTCCAAGTCTTTCACATTTATGCATCCATTTACCGTACACAGCAGCAGCATGGCATAAATACTGCCGTGTTACCATTTCCCACATCATAAATTGAAGGCTAAAGTGTTTAAGTACTTCCTGCCATGAAGTACGTTGTAGAGTAGGTTTTTAATTGATGTAAAAAATACAATATATAAATAAAACAAATGAAGCCAAACATGAGATCACATCAAACACAGTTTGGGGAACTGCTTACTTCCCTTACAAATGCCATCTATATTAGTGACCAACCACGTTCGCAGGTCTCAGATGGGTGCATTTCATTGCAGGATGCCTCGCGCCATTCAGCTCGAACTCTGCCGACAACTTCCACTCTTCAGCCTGCAATTATCATGAGCCATGCCAAGTTGGATGTACTTGGACCTAAATCTTTGAGCACATCCTTACTGAGGGAAACATTGCTATTTCTTAGGCGTTAATTAACAGTCTAAGAAGAAAAGCATACAGACATCGGAGTCCACTCTGTCTGAAATTGTAACTGCAGATTTTATTCACTGGATAAGTACTTGGCTTCCCATAATGTTCAATTATGTGTATTTGTTTAGCATTCAATCAAATTTCAAGCTTTACCCAGTGCTAATAGGTGCTTTTCAGCTATAAGTACACAGAGCAGTGAGCTGGTATAAAACACAGAGTAACATTTTTAAATACAGGTCCTAAATTTGAGAAATTACAAAGCCTCTATTTGGCTGTTCTAAGCCAGAAATTGTTGCTCCCCATGAGTAGGTAGCACTTCATTACATTTTTTTTAAAACTCTGGTTTAGCTATTTATTTAGAGAATGGACGGCAGAGAATGGAGTTTTTAGAATAATCACAAGACTGTGATTTCTATAAGCCTAATTCTAAATGTTAGGATTGGGCATTTTAAATTTACTTTATCAGAATAATATACAGACATCATTAGACTTAAGTACTACTAAAAGGGTTTTGAGGGCTGGTGTCTCTTTAGTATCCTGTCCTACTGTCCAGAAGCAACAATTTTTAAATCCCTTTTCTAGATGATACTTTTTTAGGGTTTTCTTTTTCTTTTCTTTTCTTTTCTTTTCCATCTTTGTCTTTCTTCTTTGTGACAACACCTGCTCTGATTTCATGGAAACAGTGTCTTTATCACTCTGGGAGATTAGCTATAATTTACCTTCAGTTTTTCTTCCGTTTTCCGATTTATCTCTGCATTAAATTCTTTTTATTTTCCTGTTGGTTCTTGTCTTGCAGTTTCATTGGTGCCTGCATGTGTAGTCCCATGTATGACTTAAGCATAACAAACCTTATTTTAAAATGATAATGTCTGAGAGTAAGATACACTCTGGTGACAGGCTTTAGTCTGGATAACTTACATGAAGGAACATCAAATATTTCTATTGGGAGATCTTGACTTGTAGATTTTCCCTAAACAAGATTTTTGGAAGGAAAATGTCTTAGTTACCTTTCTTGTTGCTGTGGCAAAATGCTTGACACTCAGTGTTAAAGGAGGAAAGGTTTATTGTAGCTCACAGTGTGTAGAAGTTTCAGTCCATAGTTGGCTGGATCCAAGGCAGGTGGCAGGGAAGAGGAGAAACAGTCCATGGCAGGCAGAAGGCAGCAAGCAGTGAAGTAGCAAATCAGCAAGTGGAAGCAGCAGCCCTCTATCCCTTATATTTTATCCAGGCTAGGTGGCCTTAAGGTGGGGAGTACTCACACCCAGGATGGGCCTTCCCATTATCCACACCCAGAACTATGCCAAACCAATCAGTGGACTATTGGTAACATCCTTGATCCCAGCATCACACATCCTGGATCCAGCTACCTGTGAGAAGCCCCACGTGTGACCACATGAGGCTTTGGGGGACATCTAGACACAGCCACAACAGATAAGCAGTTGATTGGCTGGGCAAGGATGGATTGGGAGTGGAACAAGCCTAACCACAAACCTTGCTGTCTTGGACCCCATGCCTTGTCACAGGTGTCTGCCATGTGACACTCTGAGACTCCCAGGGTTTTTTGGGATGAAGTAACTTGTTTCTGTTTTGTGCCTCTGTCTATGAAGCCAAGTTTCAAATTTATGACTACATTCATCTCCTCCTTTCAACACATTCTTGTTAGTTGTAGCTGCCCTACATTCACTGAACGCAGAACTTACATGTCTGTCTTGGGTGTGTGTACCTGTGTGTGCCTGTGCATGTACATGCGTGTGTGTGTGTGTGTGTGTGTGTATTGTGTATGTTGACATCTGATGTCTTTATCCACTCAAAACAAAAACATACGTAACATTTTTAAGGTTTCTACAAGGGGAAGGAAGAAGGCTAGTGAGGATATTTCTTGAGTCAAGCCTGGCAGTCCTGATGCAGAACATAGAGAGAACCCAGGCAGAGACTACAATCATCAATTCCTTCAGGCAGTGGAAGCTTTTGGCCTGTGTGTATTTGCTCGGTGTCCCATCACATGACTTGTACCTATAACTCAAATCCTTGATAAAATGTCATCTCCTCCATGAAATCACCCCTGATCAATGTAGCTAATAATCTCTCCATTCTTTGAATCATGTGGCATTTAGTCTAGCATTTTCTTATGGTGATTGTGCATTGTATAACTTGAATTGTCATTAGATGTGTGCATCTCCAGTGGGAGGGTTTTCTCATTAATTTATTTCATTAGATTGGTTGATGGAGCTACTGGGGGTTGAACCCAGGGACTTTGCACTGAGCTACACCTCCAGCCCTTTGTTATTATAAATTTTGAAACAGGATTTCACTAAGTTGCCCAGGGTAGACTTGAATTTACAATCTTTCTGTCTCAGCCTTCCAGAGTAGTGGGATTATGGGCAGGCTCTGTTTCTCATTAACTTATTATTGTTTCCATCTTTGGGGGCTGGATTCACGTCTTTTTCACTTTGGACCAGCTCCCAGTGACGTGCCAGGAAGAGAGAATGTACTCGATAAACATTGAAACCGGTGTGTGAATGTGCCCTGTAATGGTTGGGACAATTCTTGCTCTTGGAGAAATGGAAGACACAACTTCTATGTTGTCACCTATTTTAGTCACCCATTTTACAGCCTACAGTCTTCTATTTCGCTATCATTCAGAAGGATTCCAAGGATCAAGCAAGTGCAGGTAACTGGAACTCTTTGTGCTCTAAGACTCGAGTGTGGACTTTCTGTTCCATCACCAGTGTTCTTCCTCACAGGGCTGTTACTGTCTCAGGAATAATTCCACCAAAGAGCTATGCAGCATCTCCTGCCAAGCTGCTGTATCACAGCTGCCTGTACTGCCTTCCTGCTGGACTCCTTCCTCCCATTCTCCCAGTCATCAGGTATGTGGAATTCCCTTGAGGGCTCCAGTTGCGTAAGGAGAAGGAGAATTTCTGGAGTTTCACAGAGCTAGGTTTGGATTTGCCCCTGTCACTTATGTGTGGGTGACGAGGGATGAGGTAGCACATCTGTGTTCACATAAAGTCTCCTTGGCAGGCTTGTCACAGAGGTTAAATAGATAACATATGTGAAGTCCTTAGCTAACACTGGAGCACTACTCAGCCACGAAGAAGGACAAACTGGGGTCATTCCTAGAGAAATGAATGCACCTTGAGGCCATAATGTTATGGGAAATAAATCAGACACATACATTTAAATATCACAAGGTTTCTCTTATATGAAAATCCCAAATCCCAAATACAGAGCAAAATGAAGTTAGGAAATAGGAAGCAGGGAGATCCTTCTCAAATGGGAAGGGGACCAAGAGGGAAGGAGGGAAAGGAATGAAAAAGAAATCAAAATGTTTTGTGTAAGGTACCGACCTCACATGGGGAATGTAGACACGATTTCTTGCACACATGCTAATAAAAACTCAGACTGGGATAGGTCTTCTTTGCATTTCCTTTCTTAAGATGTTCATTGTGGTTTTTCTGAGAATATAATCATTTTAAAAATATGGAGAGGGCCGGGGATTTAGCTCGGTGCTTCCACTGCCTGCCTCACAAGCACAAGGTCTGGAGTTTGATCCCTGGTGCCA